TTATCGTTTTAACTGTGATATTTTTTGTAATATATATTTCTGTATTATCTTCCTGTTTAATTAAGAATATATTTATATAATTGAAATTTTTTATTATTATAATATATTTACTTTATGAATATACACGTAAAAAGCAAGTTTACCTCCGAAACAAGATCTTCTTCATAGATGATATCTTCTTTATTAACAAAATTAGTATAAGACATGTTTATTTCACAGTGAAAAGTCATCTGTTTAACACGAAAACAATAAATGGTATTTAAACGCGTGAAAAAAAATTTTTCTCTTTCTTTATTTTATATCGTGTATAACTGACCAGATTATCAGATCATAAGATGATTTTATACTATATATATACTAGTATTAGTTTCACAAATCATGCTGTATAAACTAATTTCGAAAGTTGTCAAGTGATCATACACATCATCAATTTAATATCATACAGTACTCAGTTGGTTGATCCGACTCTACAACTTTCCGTATCACTCATGTAGCATGGGTATGCAAAATTTCACACGCGTTCCATACAGATCTACATTGTTTATTACCAAATAAGGAAAGGCCTAGACCGTTCTATTCTGTACCACGTATGGTCACGTGATCCTTTTATATGTGATGTTTAACCATACTCTACATAAATAGCCAACCATGTTTACTATGCTCTCGTTCTCGGGTGTTCTCGGGGTCCTCATAAAATATCAAAAAGTTGGGTTCATAAACAATTATTAAGAAACTATATTTACCATTTCTATTAAGACTTTTTAAACTTTAATATGAGGTATTTCTTATATTTTGTTTTATTAAAGATATTATTCAATTTCAGTAAATATTTGTATGTTATTGTACGGGCGTGCTTAATAATGATCTGATGTAGAGCGAAGCGCCACATCATACCCGCCCGTTACAATAACAAACAATCATCAAAGTTTATTGCTTGTAATTTCTAGTAACTTAATATCAAATTTTCATTATTTTTTGAAATTAATTTATTGACATAATCTGTAATTGTTATAATTCATGTGTTGACAATATATCTTTTAAGGAAGAAACATCATTAGATATCTTGTTATAGGGATTAAGAGTACAAAGTTTTATTAATAAAAGAGTGAAAGAATTATTACGCAGACTTGAATGTAACAATCATAATTGTTTATGATACAGCCGTATATAATAAGATTTTTAATACTTGGCTTATGCATATTTAGTAATTTATTTTTAATTATATAATTTTTTATTTTCTTTCATAAAATACTATGTTAACATAATGAATATTTTTATTTCAATTTTATACTCATATTTAAACAATATTTATGCTCAAGATTATAAAAAAAATAAAATAAAAATATCACTCATTAATTAGGGTTTAATTCAGAAATGCAACGGAAGATTATTTCTGGAACTTTTATTTCTAATTTTACAAACGCCTGTTACTTTCATCAATAATTAATATAAACTATAATAAATAGTTATGCAATAATCTAATTTAAAAATTTTCGTGATACCGAAAATACGGCCCGAAAAAAAAATTAAATGATCATTTGAATTGTACAATAATCGGAGTAATTTCCGCTTTTGATTTAAAGTAGCCTTTTTTAGTAACTCATTATAAATATATATTTCGTCCATAAAAAAAAGGTAATTTTATTTTTCTTTTTTTGAATACTGTATATTACGAAAATAACCTAATGGAAACCGAACTTAGTAAATTAAAAATCTCAGATAATCATAAAAATTGTTCGTATTGTAATAAACCCTTTACTGAAGAATTATGGTGTAAAGAATGTGACCCATTTAGAATAATGGAAGGATGGACCAGTGGAAATTCTGGTATTGATAAGTTTATAAAAGATACAATGTATAATGCAAGGAATGATAGTTATAATGGTTATAATGGTTATAATTTTCTTGAATGGGTACCACTTTATAACTTTTTAAATATAGAAGCAATTGGTGAAGGTGGATTTGCCAAAGTATATTCTGCAAGTTGGTATAATGGTAAATCAGCATATGAATATGTTCATGGAATTTGGAAAAAAAGAGAACCTAAACCTACGAAAGTTGCTTTGAAAAGATTAAATGGATCACAGAATATCTCAGATAAATATTTAAATGAAGTACGTTTTTATATATATTGTATTTATTTCATTTAGGTGTTTAATATTAAGAATCCTTTAAATTATTTTATTTTAACTTTATTAAAATATAGCTTAAAATACATTGGGAAATTTCTAATAAAAATGGATTAAAATTTTATGGATTAACTAAATGCCCAAAAACTAAAGAATTTATGATGATTATGGAATTTGCTAATAAAGGAAGTTTGAGAAGTAATCTTTCAAATAACTTTAACAACACTACGTGGGGAAATAAAATTAATTGTTTATTTCATATATTATTTGGATTAGATTCATTACATGAATTAGGATATTGTCATAAAGATTTTCATAGTGGGAATATTTTACAAATTTATGACAATTTTAATCAAATTTCGGACTTTGGATTATCAGGACCAGCAAATGAACAAAAATCAGATGATAAAGTAGTATATGGAGTAATGCCATATATTGCACCAGAAGTCTTAAACGGAGAACCATATACATCATCATCCGATATTTATAGTGTAGGTGTAATTATGGCCGAATTATCATCAGGAAGACCACCTTTTTACAATAAAAAACATGATTTAAATTTAGCATTAGCTATATGTAATGGACTCAGACCAGAATTTGGAAAAGGAACTCCTGAATTTTATAAGAAATTAGCTTATAAATGCATGAATGCCAATCCAAATGAAAGACCAACAGCCGAAGAATTAAGGAATATATTTAATTTTTGGGATAATTCTATTAAAGGCATAAATAATGACAGATTCGGTTATAAAGGAAAAGAAATTAAAGCGGCATTTGAAGAAGCTGATAAGGAAATACCAAATATCTTAACTTCATATAAAAAGAATTCAGATGCTGTATATACTAGTAGGGCGTTTACATTTAGTAATTTATTACCAAAACCCGTTAATTCATCCATTATTACTTCATATGTTAATAATGAAGGTATTTTCTGTTTTTAAACATTTTTATTTTTTTAATAATTGATAATCATTAACTTTTTATTGCTTTAATAGTTTGTGACTCTCAATTAATCGACTTGGAAATATCTAATTCAATACAATTAAGAGGTACATTAAACATAATTTACCACTTATTTTTATACATTTAAATATACTAATAATATTTATATTATTTATATTATTTATATTGCTGATATTTAGATACCGACGATGAAATCAATTGAATTGAATATAATTTATTTATAAGCTATAGTATAATTGGTAGCTTAATTGACTTTATAATCATGTAAGCTTATGATAAATTAAGTAACTTAAAACTTTTAACAAACTTATGTATGTTTAAAATTTATATACTGTATAATTATTATTTGTAAAATTCCGTTTCCAGAAACAAAAGTTTTTTTGAATTTCAAAAATTTTACAATTTATTTGAACGTGTATGTTTTGGTATTGACATAGTTTAATTTTCAAAGTAAAAAAAAAATTTATATAAACGTAAATCACATGGATCGGAAATTTTAAAAATCATCTGAAAAATATTTTCTGAAATTTAATACGTTTAAACGAAGATTTTGTAAAATGATGGATTATCATAAAAAAGTTATTATAATTGTTTTACATAACAAATCTTACCCAAGTTTTTATGGGAATTATCAATATGACCATAATTATTTTTGAACATATCAACAATAAATTCTAATTCACTAATTGATTTTGCATATTTCTGTCAACTAATCTAAAAACATTATTACAGTACTTAACAAGTATTGCAACTAAGGAATTTATTATCAGAAAAGTATATTTCTAAATCAGGAATAAGTTGTATTTGGATTCCAAATTATTGAGATATGTAAAGATGCGTTGATTTTTGTATTTTTCATTAATAAAAAGATTATTGTATATCTCACTTTTAATTTTAAAATCTTTATTAATAACAATTTTATTTAATTATTTAAATCTAAATTTCTACTAATTAAATAAAGTTCTTTTTTATGCGAGTTTGTTTAAAAATCAAATTTTTTTTAATTTGTTTCTTGATTCGTCAAAAATTACGTTTAAAAATTTAATTCGCAATTCGATAATAATCGGTGGAGCATTTTACATATTAATTTTTGTACGTTTTATTTATAATTAAGCAAAGCAGCCCATATTATAATAATTTTAATTGCTATAATATAAAATTTGGCCAGCACTATGAGAGTTCTTAATCGTTGAAAAATACAATATGCCTAAATATACCTATAATCTCCAGCTCGACGATTTTAATAGTAAATTCTAACGAAAATGTCTAATTTTGTAATTTCAGATCTCATTTGGAATTTGCAATTTTGAAGATTATCCTCATGATTTATTTAATGAGAGATAGCCAGAAAGTCAAGAATTGTTTGGTACTTTTAAACGTTTGAAATTACAATAAAACTTTACCAATAATTGCATTTCGGCTCTAGATTATGGATACTAATATAAAATTGCTCCGCCGATCAATCTCTCACGAATTGCGAATTAACTTTTTATGGTTCTTTAAGGAATTCCAAGCAAGATTTTCCTATAATGTTAGAACAATAATTACGCACAAAGATCTATTAGCAAAAAGTGCCTTTTTATTATAATATATTTCATAAAAATATCATTTGTTAACTTGAACATTTTTAATAAAATAGAAAAAAAAAAGCGCAAAATGTTAAATATAAGGTGCAAGTGATGTACAAGGCGTTCAACATTGTGACGTTTCATCATGTTAGCCAAAATCATACTAAAAATCATTTACTCAATGTACGTTATTTGTCATTTATGAAGATATTAAAACTCTTTTTTGAAAATAAATGATCTAAATTTTCAATTTTTTACACGCACGTCGCACAAATAAGAATTTGATAACAAATATACGTATTTTATTAAAAAAAAATTTCAATATTTATGTAGGTAATTTAAAAAATTCATTTTTATCAACATAAAATTTAATTTATACGGTGAGATTATGAATAAAAGGAGTAAAAAAGTAAGTAATCAAACAATCAAATAAACTAAAATCATCTTCTGAACGAATAATTTGCTATAACTCTTTCTCCCTTATATTTTTTTATTAAATCTAATAAATCAGAAGTAAAATCCCTTCCATTTTTAAAATCAAATTCCAAAAAAGACATCGGATGTCTACCTTTCCAATTATCGAAAAATAACTTTAAAGATTCTGGTTTAGATAAATTCCAAATTCTAAACTTATATAAACTAGTTGGTGATGATTTAGTTAATATTTCAAATAATTTATCCGGTTCAAACAAATTATCAACTGAAATAAATAATTCATCCAAATATTGACAATTAATCAATATTTTTTCAAATTCTGTGATATTTTCACCCAAAAAGATTGATTTAAGATACTTAAGTTTTGGACATTTTTTATATATAGCCTGAATGATTTTTTTATTATTAATCTCTTCCGGTAAACTGAATTCAATACTTATTTCGTTAAGATAACCACCTGTATTTTCAATTAAACTTGCTAATTTTTCACCTGGTATAGTTTTAGCTTTTAAAATTTGTAAAAAAGGTAAACATAAATTCTCTAAACAATTCCATGAACAATAACGACCACAATCCAATTCCAATTCTTTTAAATTTATAAAAGATGAAAGTATATTCGTGATTGGTTGTCTGGTCATCTTAAAATATCGCATAGTATTTGCATGTTTGATTAACGAAGTTTCAAAAGATTTTTGTGAAATAATATTTCAGCAGAATAATCTCGATTATAATTATCGCTTAATATGACTTTAGTTAAATTTTCAGACATATTAATTAATTCATAATTGGTGTTATATGCATCATTAACCAAAAGTTCCAATTCACTAACTGATTTGCACACCCTAACAACTCAGTTATAACGTTATTATCCATAAAGACACCACAATAAATGCTTCTCAATTCAGAAAAACATTGTTTTGCTCCAGGAATATCAAGTATTTGATAATCAAATTGTCGAAACACCAAAATATGTGAATTTTGTATTTTCATTGATATAAATTCTGAGAAGTTCATTTTGTAAGATTTCATGTTTTTCATAATTATTAATTAAGTTAAAAATTATAATTTCAAACGTATTCGAATAAAAATATCTACAAAAAACTAATATAATTAAATAAAAGCTTTTCATATACTAAATATGTTAAATGAATTCCATGACTATTTAAGATATTCCTTGATTCATTGGATAAATGTGAAATTAATCAATTTATCTATCATCTCAATCTTTATTATGTGTTCCCAAGGGTTTTCCCGTAAAATTGGAATAATTATTTGACACCATGTTTTATTAACTAAAAGAGATGAATAAAGGGTGCTAATATTAAAACGCAATTCTCTGAATATCAAATAAAGAATATCATTGTTTAACTTGGGACATTTTTGTGACCATTTTATACTGTATGTCTGTGACACATTGTACAATTACGTTATGCGATTGCGTGCTCAATATTTATTTATACGATGATTTTCCGGTAATTATAACGTTTTTATTTAAAGGCTAGAAACTTTTAAATCTTTTTTGGGACATCTTAATGTACTGCACATTTTTAGCATATTTAAACTCTTTCAAAAAGGAGAACTATAAGCGGATTAAATTAGTCATCAATCAGCAAGATTTCAATCCGTTTTAATTTTCAAAATCGCCCACACGATAAGTCACGAAAAATTCACATGATAATTTACGTCATATCGGTGGAAACCGCAAAAACATAAATAAAAAAAATTGTTATTTGATTTTTTTCTACTACAAGACTGAGAATATGAAACACAATTAAGTTCGATAGCAAACCGAATAGATTGTTTTGTAGTTTGATATTTGGGGACCTCCACAGGAAAAGCTGGGACTCGGCCCAATCACATGATTTTGAAATTTTGCAATGATCATGTGCTTATAAATCTAACCGTATAACTGATAAGTTTTTTCGGCGAATTGATTTTTTTTACAAGATATTACAATAATTTTATTAAAAATAACAAATATATAAATTTCATGATTTTAATAAAAAGAAAATAAATGCTTGCAAATTTTCGTCCCAAGTTATAAAGACCGTTTTTGAGAAATCGCAAATGATCGTCAAAATCGATTGCGTAGTTTACAGCTGATTTCAGGACACTTTGCCGGCTGTCGGCAAATTGAAAAAATAACGAACACATGATTTAGCCAATATCACGTGATACCTGTTTTTGAGCTGATTGGCTACCTACAATCCGACAACCTGACAAGTCTCGGCCAAGTGCCCCGTTATGAAATCAACTGTAAACCTCGATTTTCTCGAAAATACGTAATCGGCCGAGCCCCGGCTTTTCCTGTGGAGGTCCATATTTATTAACACTATTAATAATTATTTTAGATAATTCTCATTTACTTAAATTCTTTATTCCAAAATGCATTGTTAATTTGGTTAATTTAAAAATGTCATGACAAGGCATTTTAAGTTCAATAAAAAAAATAATATAATAATAATACTTTTCATCATGAATTACGAATTACGGAAAGTTAATGGTTGATTCTGGATATTATGATTTTTCGGATTAAATAATTATATTTTAATTTCACCAAGGTAAACTACATTATACTATGCATTTATGTTGGCAAACTTAATTTTAATTTACGTCATCATACAAATATTTATAAATCTTTTTAAAATGTCTAATAATTTAATAGAATTTGTCCGGAGCGAAGCGAAAATAAATTATCTAGAGAGGGGTGATACAAAATGTTGTTCTGTTTGTCCACTCAGTCACGCGTGATTGGTTACATGTAAATTCTCGTAATAAAAGATCTTCCGCTCCAAACTTAACAACGGTCTCAAGAATCGTTTTCTAGTTTTGGTTAAATTTTGTTTAGTATTCTAATATAATATCTATAATTTTTAGAAATATTTATTTCGCCTCTTTATAACTGAATCTAACTGAATCTATTATGATATAAATAATTGTAATTTTTTCGTAAAATTATTTCTTTCTTTTATCTAATTTATAAATTTTTATTGATTGAAATAAGTTGTTATTAAATACCCTATACGATATAAAGAACTAAAAAAATACATATTCATGCCGTAATTACAATTTCCAATATAAATTCTGATAGCAAAAATACCATATATCAGTACATTGTAAACTTCTATGAAGGATTAGAAAGAGAATAAGCGTTTGGTAATTGAGAAAAAAAAAAATTCATATAAATTAATAAAAACTGCTTACTCTTCATACGTATCATTTTTTTGTCGGACTTTCTTCCTTAACCTGATTTATTTCATGGCTTTTATTTTACTTTTACCTTTTCATGTATCATAATTTTGATGATGATGAAAATCTTAAATTTTTCAAAAAAAAAAAACTTATATATATAGGAATTTTATTAGAATATCCTAATTATAACGAAATAGTTAAAAGTGTATCCATTTATAGAAATTGATATGGTCATATGAAGATATTTTAAAAGTTCATGGTTTTGGTTTATTGATTTATTGAGTACAATGGCTCAGGAATTTCTTCTCCATATAGATCCTTATACTTGAATAACTGTCGGTTAAATTAACCAGTACATTGATTTAATTTCCTTTAAGGGATTAATATGATCATTATGACATCACTACTACATAATAATATCAAATTTTCTGATTATCAAAGTTTGTGTGATAGTAAAATTATCTGACTTTTTGGATTACTAAATTAAGTAAATTGAATGATCTTTTTTCATAATCTTTCAAAAAATCTATTAAGGTTATGAATCTTATGATTATATGATTATATGCAAAGCTAATTGAATTCAAAAATTATTTATTTATTTTAATATATGACTGGAAAATGAATTCCGTTTTATTCACACAAATCATTGCATTGGTATTTTTCAATAATTTTATTACACGTTTCTTTGACTTGTATGGTATATTTTTTTCAAACGCCACTTTCTCCGTGTTACTGAAACTGTCACGAGATTACATATTTACTAACTATATATATATTCACAAGTTCTTAATATCCTAATGGTTCTTTTCGTTCCCAAAAGATATATTATAACCTTTTTAACTTTTTTAACAAAGATGGTAGTAACTGATAAAGACTGTCTTCCACTTATATTTGAAGAACTTCATGATGATAGACGTTCCCTGTATTCTTGTCTATTAGTTAATAGACTTTGGTGTAAAACTGTCGTTCCAATTTTATGGAAGGATCCATGGAAGTTCTTAAATAATCTCAAGGATTTTAATAGAGATAAGCTATTTCTCAATACTATTCTTTTACATTTATCAGAAGAATCAAAAAATTATTTAAGAAATCAGGATAGCATTAATAAATATATAAACATACCTCAACAACAACAAACTCCATTATTTAATTACATTCACTTAATTAAATATATTAGAAAAAAATACCAATGTTTGAATGTCAAAAATATTTGTTATCAACCCTTTTATGATAAATGTATATTGGAACAAGAAGTTTATAAACTTTTTATCGATAAATGCACTTCCCTTAAATTTTTAGACATCACTGATATTAAGTGTCCGATATACGAGTATCCCGGAGCCGCGGCTAATCTTTCACGTATTAAAGAATTACAATGTAAAAGTTGTGATGATGAAGAATTCTTCTATGGATTAACTAAGATGTGTAATTTAATAGAAAAGCTTTGTATTTTATATACAAGTTCGAATCCTGGCCTTGCTAAATTAATAGAAATACAGAAAAATTTAAAATACATAAAAATTTCGGTTAATAGAAATTTTAACATGATGATGAAGTGGGAAGACAAATGTCAAATGATTGACCAAGCTATAATTAAGCATTCTAATAAACTTATATATTTAGATATTCCGATTGAAAGTATAAGTTTATCCTTTTATATTAATTTTTTTCCAAAATTAATCAATTTACGAACATTTATATTAGATGGTAATATGTTATTTGATACAGGATTAGAAGATCAATTAGTTTTTTCATCATATACAAAATTACAAGTAATTCATTTAGATTGTGTATCATTTTCTACGGCGAAAAGAATAATACAAAATACTGAACGTAATCTTCAAATAATTTGGACGAATAATATTTGTTACAGTACGGTAGAGTTAGTAGATCAATCAAGAAATTTTATTCAGATAATCTATCAAAATTGTCCTTATCTTAAATATGTTAAATTTTCATTAAAAGGTCAATATTTTGAAGAAATTAAACAACTTTTAATAAATTGTAAATTTTTAGAAGGTTTATATATTGACGTGGATAATCAAATTAATAATTATCTTAATGGGGATGAATTATTAGATATATTAATTAAATTTGCTCCAAATAGTCTTTTTAAATTACAACTTAATTTTTTCGAATTCAAAACGAAAAATTTTGAATCATTTTTTAATAAATGGGAAAAACGAAAATCTTTATGGTTATATTTAAATAACGTAAAATTGGATGAAGATTATAAGATTGAATTTAAAGATTTGATCAAAAAATATGAGAGTGAGGAAGTTATTAAGAAGTATGAATCTGATGATTATTTAAATTTTATTAATGATTATACAGAATTTATAACATATTAAAAAAATATGGTTCAACATATAATAACTCTCATCGTTGAAACAGGAGCAGAGGCGGGTGAATAGGAATGTTTTATAATCATATTAAATAAGTAATTAAGTGATTATAAGAGTAGTATTAATTAACGATGTACTTTTAAATATTCGCAAATAGCTCTCAAATATTATTTTTTTTTTTTTGAAAATTGATATTTATTTATCCACGGCGTCTAGTTTTACGTTAGGTTAGGTAGAGGTTGGTTAGATGTTTATCAGTTTATCAGTCATATACTTGAGATTTTTTTTGTGCGACCATATATTTATTTTTTTTAATCAATAAAAGTTTCTCTTTTTTTCGTGATAAGATAGGTTATTGTACGTGAGCGAACAACTTTTTTTATATTTAACAAATTACGATTGGATCGGAACCGTTGTCGTTGTCACAAATTCTGATCATTTTGAGCCAATAATACCTAATATTTCTTTAATTACAGTTTTTTTTTTAGATGAACTCAATTGGCGTAATGTTATCTGAAATTTGAATTTTTTTTAATGAACCTCGATTAAGGCAGGGTTCTGATTTCAACTGACGGAATTTTCATAGTCAGTGAGGTATTTTTCACAAATTAATATTTTTTTTCATCTTTGTGCATGACGTGTGATAAATTTAAACTCTAACATTTATTAATTTCCTTAAATTTAGGCATCTGTTTAAAATAATTCTTTTATAAAAATTTTTTGCATCACACATTAACAAAATTTTGCAATGTCATAACGTTTAGCTTGGTTCGTTATCATGTCCTCTAATATTTTATTTTTCTCTTATTAACTAATTCATTCTCGTTCCCCTTACATAATAGTGCTTTTCGGAAATATTGTGCTTACTCGTCATTTGTATTAATGATTAAGTACTATAGCCCTACTTACGCGTAATATCATACCATACACAACCATCACAAGGATGTGCCCACGAGTTTACTAAACATAAGCATCTCGCGCATAGAATCATATCGCCCTCCCGTTCACTACCTCCCTCTTCCATCATTGTCGCACATTCTCACCACGAGATTAGGGAAAGAAATTAAGGAACAGGGGAATGAATAATTTTATAAAGTTTATAAATCCTAAGCCTATCTTAGATTTACCTTTAGAACCCAATTTATACTAAGAAGTGGGGTGTCTAGAAACTCATAGCTATTTTCCTACTAACCCTTGCACATGGAGCTTTACTGTATCTTTACAGAAATATATTTCTTATTCCTTTTTTATGTTACCGCATTGGCGTATATTAAAGAACAATGAAATTTTTTTTTCACTTTTTTTTGAATTTTTGAATTTTTTATTTTTTAAGCCGAAAAGTGATTTTCTAAATTCTAATTTTCTTTTTAAATTATCTTTATAGGCTAATAAAATTTACCTCTTGGACTATTTATTTATGTTAATCACATTGTGGGCTTGTATGATTTAGCACTAATAAACAATAAAACATTGGTACGAAATGTGCTGTAATATTTGTCATAAATAATTAAATATGCTATAATAATGACATATATATAAGTAGTGTTCGCTCCCGTAAAATTACTGTCATTACTATTATATCACGTGTACAATCATTATCTGTTATTATTGGTCGGGAATCATGCTGATTTTGACGGATAGACATTTTTATTTTCATCGGTCTTAATATACCCTTTTGTTTGACTGGCGCAGTAACCTAGTTATGACTTTCCCAGCGTAACCTGAAAAAAATGTCACGAAAAATCACGTGACATTTTTTTGTCACAACCGTCACACCCCACTGCGCTTCCATTTTCTATAAGTATCTGAGGGACTCGGTTTTTTTCGAGTAGGTAAAAACTTATTCGTCACACATTATTCGTCACATGTGCGCCACACTTAATTTTAGTCAAGTTGCGTAATGCCGGCCATTTCGTGACATTTTTTTCAGGTTACGCTAGGGAAGTCCCTAGTTATTGATGTGTCATTCCTGCTAGGGTGACCGATATTTTACCTAACCAATAACTATAATTTATTTATGCTTTTTATTACACATGTACAAATCATTTTTTTTTCTTTTCTTTACTTCAACAAATATTTTTTTAGTTCTTTAAAGTAAACTTACGTTCATGTTTTTTTTACTGCTAATATAAATGTATTGGTAGTAGTAACTAATAAATTTTTACCTGATATTCTAGCTCAGACTATAGATGCCAAAAGTTAGTCATTAACTGGTTTGTTTATTATAATGCAAATTTATATATTTGTTATTATCAGTTAGTATGTTTGATTCATGTTGTTATATAGCCCTTGTTTAACTCTTAAACAGTGATAAATCAAATGACTCAGGACATTAGCCATGTAAGGCTAATTGACAAATAATATAGTCATTTGTTTAATCAATCAGAATGAAAAAAAAATTATTTGTGTTATTTTAATAAATTTTTTAAAAAAAACTCATTTTTTTTTATTAAAATTCCGCAGTAAAAAATTTTTTAACAAAACACTAACTACACGCCGGGGAGAGGCTACCCAACAAAATTTAGCGATCACGTGATTTTTTCTCTGTCACATCACATTTTATCATCACATTGTGCGTAACGTAACCATAACACTTAGAAAAATTAGAAAAATAAAAAAAATAAATAAAGTTTTTTTTTTTTGTAACAACTTAGAAAAAAAAAGGAAGTTTTTATAACAACTTAGAAAAAAAGGGGATTTATTTTTTTTTTAAGACAATTATAAAAGAACAAAGTAATATAATTATACAGTAATTATGGTAACTACGCCATGGGAAAAACTTCTGATTAGATAACTCGTAATCACCAACACTTATATTTCCATATTTGGCTAAATATGAGAAACCAAGCTTTGTAGTAGTGTATTATTGCGTCACAACAAGCTAATGTATCCGGAAAGATATGTATATACCGTACCTTAGACTTAAACTTTCTTAAACTGTTGATCATTTCTTTTCTCTTGACAAGTTTTCACCCGTTGTAATGTCTACTTCGGAAATTCCTTTTCTTGTTAGGTTATCTTTTATGTAGTAAAAGAATTATGATATTCATATATACTAAATTGTAGATAAAGCAATCTCCTCTTATTTCGAAGATAAACCACCTTATGGTCGTATGATAGCTTCCTCGAAAATGAAGCCATTAATTATGGAAGACGAAGATGCTGAACTTCCATCAGTTTGGCGAAAAAGATTTTTGACAGCACTGAAGGAAATAACTGATGATGATACAAAAGATGAACAAGTGCGATATATTGCAGACCTTTTAAGTAAACAGGTATTTCATAATCTTTTCTTAAGCACAACACAGGGGGGTGTCGTTCCTCTAGCTTGCAAGAGCTTGGAGATATCATTTCTCCTAAAACTGTGTATGGTGTGTCGTTCCTCGCGCGTTGCACAAACCTAGGGGGGTGTCGTCCTTTGTTTTTGCAAACAGTCCTATGGGGGTGTCATTCTTCTTTGGACTCCTGGGGGTGTCGTTCCTAGTGCAACAAAAGAAAAAAAAATTCTAGGAATTCTATAATAAATAAGAATTGCTAATAGACCTTTTTTTGACTAAGAAATTAACCGCAACCAATGCAAGTATTTGGAAAAAGCTAAAAATGGAAAAAAAATCGCAAGTCATCTGAAGCTTAACTTCATTATAAAAAGGTTTGTACTTTGAATTATACAAATTGAATCAGGTTATATTTATTAGTAACTTTTTATAGTTTATATTCATATTCAACTCGCAGATTGAAGCGTTAGGTGTTGTAACATTCAAGCCCGTGATAAAGCAGTTACGGAACGATTTCCCAACATCCGTTTTCCTGACGTAACCTTTTCCCGACAATGATTTCCCAACATTATCCTGAAAGACAAAATCCTGACATGATATTTTCCCGAAATCAATTTACGAAAAATGATTCACAAAAATACTTAATTTAACTGCAAAAAAAAAATATAAAAATAAAATTTTTTATTATATTTACCTAATTTACTTTTTGTATAATATTTTCTTAATTCTTTTTTATTAAATGAAAAATGAATTTATTATTTTACAATTACATTTATCACGTAATTTATCTTAATTGAGACAATTGTTTTTTTGAATACAATTACAATTTCACATTAAACATATTAAATTAAAATTACGTAATTTATTTTTTTATTTATATTAAATTAAAAAGATCTGAACTAAAAAAGAGATTGAAAAAGATGTTAAATCAACAATTGGTAATTGATCTTCTGTGGCAGATTGCAGATTGCAGATTGCAATCATTGTATCATCATGAATGGCCGAAAATGAAACATGATTAGTAAGCTTTTTTTTTGTTTAATTAGAAAAAAAAATCCAATTAAAATTTCATTAACCGGAACTGTATTAGCGCTCAAATTGGCCATGAACGTAAACGTGACCCGACAACTGCGCAATTCAAAATTATTTATACAGGTCAAACGTAACGGTAACACATTAGAGTTCCAATCCGTCATCCGACGGATAATCACATTTTGACAGTTGTACGCTCATTTAATTAATATAAAAGAGCATTTTTTTTTTAAGGATATCCTAAGAGCATAATACAGTATATAATTTAATAAATAAACTTTTTTTTCAAAAATGAAAGTGAGGAGAAATTAGGAACGGATTAAAATATCATCCGACGGATGAAAATTTCAATCCGACTAAGATTTCACCCCATTTATTTTATGTTCAATTAATTAAATAATGCATAGTCTGATCACCTTACATCGAATGCAGTTCCTAAATTATAAATTATGAAACATAAATGTCTCTTTCCAAAAATAAATGAGAAGAGATTGATCATCCGTCGGATGACGGATTGGAACTCTATAACACATGAATTTTTTAACAATTACTTTCTAGATAGAAGATTATTTTTACCCAGTTTATTTTGTATATCTATCTGTAAAGCATTTGTTAATTTTAAAAAATTTAAAATTTGCTATTATTGTTAAAAACTTATATACCCAACCAAAGTTACATTTTCACAAATTGAATTCGGAAAATGTTATGTCAGGATTTTGTCTTTTGGGATATTTATCGTCAGGATAATGTCCTTGAGCATTGAAAAAATGATGTTTTATTAATATTAAAAAAATTACATAAATATAGTAATACAAATTAATATAATGCTTGGTTTAATATTATTCCCCAATAAGTCAATTTCTAAGTTATAATTTTAATAAGTTCTAAGATCTTCATAATTCCTTTTTGCGTTGTGCTAAATTTTTACCCTGTTTATAAGAAAATGATTTTATAAAGATATTTTTTAAGTGTTTTCAAACCTCAATTTTTGAAATAAAATCTTTTCTGGTTGTGACCTTTTCTTCTGGACACTTTAACAAATATAAAAATAAAAATAAACTAAACCCAAAAAGAACTATGTAATACTAAACATTACATATGAATCAGTTTATGAAATCAAAGTAATCCCTTAATCGAACATATTTGATAGTTTAACGTCATTCCGGACCGCAGTAAATAAAAATACTTTAAAAATTTTATACACATAAACTAAATATAACACTGCGCCACATAATTATTAAATGTACTAGATGATTCTGACATTACAGTGTACTGGAATTAGCACGGACATTGCAGACTATTCAAGCTACTAACGAGCTTGATCAATATATTAAAGCTGTATAACCTGGCATGGTTTACACAAACCTTCTAGATGAATATTCTTGAAATTGTCAACCCTGCTAAATGTTCTGAGCAAGATGATGTAAGCATTATAAATTCTTCATGATATGATTTCAATCATTGTAATATACTAACAATAATTTAATGATATTGTATTGCAGGAATCTACAAAACCCGATGAAGGAACCATTGGTACGAAAAATTTTATACAAGGCTTTATTAATCTTTATTTAACTAATAAAAAATATTTTCTTTGGTTGTTGAACTATCTAGCTAAATTGTTGGCACAAATATTACAAAATAAATCCAAAAAAGCTTGTAGTTTAACGCAAGATGAAGGTCAAAGATTGTTATTAAGGGAACGCCGGTTATCAATTGAAGAACGCGAAGTAAAACTTGAGCGCGAAAGGATAGAACCAATGAAATTAAAAAAAGAGCTTAATATAAATTAGTCATTATAAATATAAATTAGTTATTATATCGGTAGCGGAGATTTTATGTTGCAAATTAAGTTTCGAAATTCTTAAAATAGTTTGCGAAACTAATTCTGTAAACCACCTTTGCTCTAAACAATGTGTATATTTCAGGTGATTGGTTCACATGATTTAGTTTAATCACATGATCTAACTTTAAAACTTCATGCGCTTTACATTTGTCCGGAGATTCTTCTAGGTGTCCGGACTTGATTTTTCGGTGAATATTAAGAATATCAGGCATTATATTTTTCATTAATTCATAGAACTTTCCAGAACAAATAGACCAGTCTACACTGTTACATGTGATAAATGTGAAGACTCTGAATTATTGTGCGAAAAATTTTTATTGATACACGCAAAAAAATAAATATAATGGTTCGGAATGCAATATGCTAACGTTCACAGGCTATCATACACGATTATTTTTTCGAACGATAACCCTCTATCATAGTCCTCCTCTCCTCTCCCTATAAGAAATATGTACACGGAAAGGATATGTTTTGTATACATTTTATGTACGTTTCTATAGATTCCGTATACAAATTCCGTATATTTAATAAGCAATTCATTTTTGAACATTTTTTAAAAAAACTAATGTATACGGAAAAAATTAATCATGCGGAATGTATACGGAATTTTTAAACTTAATATTTTTAGAAGATAATTTTACAAGAATCCCGTATCATAACACGAGATCACGTGATTGTTTATTGATTTGTTATGATACGTTTTTTTTGATCTTCCGATCTTCCTTTCTGTCTTTCCTTTCCTTTCTCTTTTCTCGTCTTATTTTTGTTATTTTTTCTAAAATTTTCTTCTTTCTTCATCACCCCCCTTTTAAAAAAAAATTTTTTTTTCGTACCTCACTTTAAAAAAGTTTTTTTTTCATCACTCTCCCTTAAAAAAAAAATTTTTTGATTTTATTCTTTTATTCCCACTCTTCTTTTTTTTTAAAAAAAAATTTTCTTCTTTCTATTTCTATTTCCTCTTTATAAAAAATTTTTTATTTTTCTAACTTTGACGTCCTCCCCTTTAAAAAAAAATTTTTTTTAACTTTCCTAACTTTGTTACCCCTCTTTTTAAAAAAATATTTTTTTTGATTTTATTTATATTTATTCCTTTTTTTATTTCATAGGCCAGCAGATTTTTTTTTGTGAGAAGATTCAGTTTTCTTTTTTCTTTTTTGTAGATTAGTTTGGGAGTCCTTTCCTTTTTGTAGGATGGTTCAGGATTTTTTCTTTTTTTAGGTCAGTTCAAATTTCTTTTTTTTTTTTGTAAGTTGGGTTCAGATTCTTTTCTTTTATAGGTTATTACAGTTTTGTTGCTTCGGAGTCTTCTTTTTTTGTAGGTCAGTTTTGGATTTATTTTGTTGTTTTGGTTTCTTTTTCATCAGACACTTCATAATTCTTTTCCTTTATGTAGGTCAGACATTCTGGAGTTCTCTTTCTTTTTTTGTAGGAATGCTAACCTTTGGTGACTTGGATGATTGCAGATACTATATGAGGAGGGGGTTTTGTTCCAATTAAGTTAGACTTTTTTTTTTTTTTTTTTTTTTTTTGTTTTTTTTAGGTTATTTGACTCCAAATGAACCTGAACTTGTAGATAATTTTGGTTGCAATAGGTGGTTTTAATAAGCAGGGAATTTTCATAATATATTTGTATTTTGTTTATTTTTTATTTTTTATTTAATTTAATAAAGTAAAATTAGATTTATGAAAATACAATTATAGTAAACTGTAATACAAATAATACAAATAGTAAATTCAGTGACCAAATCGTATAAATTTCGTGATAAAATCAGTGATCAAATCATGTAAATTCCATATGAATCCCGTGTAAATTCCGTATCCAAACCATATTTTTTAGTGATACGGAATTGTGCATTTTTCCGTATCCTATTATGATACGTTATTTCTAAGGAAAAAAATCGTATGAAAACTTTATAAAAAAACGTATCCAATTTTTTTATAGGGTCTGACTCATCATCCACGCATGTCCTATTCTTTAACAACCCAACGATTATACCAAGAACCTTCCTCACACACTTTCGTAATGTTTGGTATTTTTCGGAGCTCTCATCCAAAAATTCTTCGGCAAATTCGATGCTGAAGGCGCAGTATATGTTGATGAAAGCTGCGCTCAAATGATGATGATTTAAGAACACTTTAATTTAATTATCCGTCCAAAAGTATATATAACCGAGCTATATCATTTTGTAATTTATTTAATTCCATAGTAGCAATGTTTGAAATTTCTAAAGATTTTTCCCAAAGTTCACTGACAGCCCACGCCCAAATTTTCCAATATTAAGACATGACGTCGTGGAGTGTCCTTAACCTAAGGTGGGGGTGTAGACCTTTAACCTAAACTGAGGTGTACGATTAAATTTGATGAATTTCATTGGTCAAGTTTCGTTTTGTGTTTATCTTAAAAAAATTTTCGTGATGTTTTTTCGCGCGAAGAAATATTTATCTTATATAAAAAATTCTTGTAATATAGTGTTTTTAAGAAAAAGAGCAAAGAAATATTTATCTAAAATAACTTTCATAATTCTTACAATTTTTATTTCATTTATAAAATTTGTTGTAAATACATTATTTAATATTTTTTTTTTTTTAAAAAAAAGATAAATAGACCATATTTTTGAACTAAATATACAAAAATTTATATATTTTAGGTCTTTTACTAATAAAACATGACTAAAGAATTTTTTGTAAAACTTCTATGAAAGCTTTTGGGACCTTTGAGCTTAACACTAATAATATATTTTTACTTTTTTATCCTAAGTTTTCAATAAAAAATATTTCAGTAAATTTTATATTTAAAAAATTACTTCAACCGTGAAATAAAAATAAAAATGTAAACAATAATAAATTAATAAATAATAAATTAAAAAAGAAAGTGAAATATCATCTTATTATATATACCAAATCTTATCGTACACCCCAGTTTAGGTTAAAGGTCTCTCGACTCTCTCGCCGTCGTGATTGTCCATATTACATCATCATGCACGTGACAAGAAAGTATATCCGAATTTAACGAATTTTATATAACAAAGCCCGTTACAACCTCTGGGTCCAAGAGGACGAGTGGTTACCAGCTCCCTTCTCCCCTTTATAAATAGTCCAACTTTCATTAGGACAATACCATAGTCTTCTACAAAAAGTATCATTCCGTCTATGACAGTATTTACAGACGGCATTTTTCAAAATGAAAGATCAATAGTATAAATTATCGTGAAATTATTTTTACAGGATTTTTTGTTACCCTTTGTTATTTTTTTCTTTTAATATCCCTGATAGAACTGATCATGCCTAAATAGTTCGAGGTTTGTTTTTTTTAGGCGGTACGCCTTACTCGTGGGATTAGGTTTCAACTATTAGAATGTTTAGTTTTAATTTAGAGTGATTGCTACATGGTGTTGTACCTTCGTTCTGTCGTCATGTTAAAAATAAAAATAAAAATAAAAAAAAGCCCGTTAGATACAAGCAAAAGAATGGCTGAGTAACGGACTCATCCCAATACTATAATAATACTTTATTTAATAAAACAAGATGGTTGCTAGAACTAACAACTAATACATAAAAAAATTGCGAATATATCGTTGTTATATGACGCAAGTACAAGTAAAAACCTATTAAGAATTTGGATATGAATACTACTATAACATCTTCGTTGGATGTCTCATTAGCAAAGGTTTTTCTGCGGGATAAATTTAAAGGAGGAAATCATTACTTACTTCACTTTTGATGGAACGTGTTGAATTTTGAATAATCGGTTTCATTCAAACAATAATGTTCAATAATTTTTTACATATTCATTTCTGGCCTGTTTTACTGACAAATGTTTTATTGACAATTTCACCAAAAAAAGTGTCATTTCAACAAAAAAATTAAATTATTCTTCTTTTTCCAGTTTTGTTCATCACAGCTAAAATGACTGATTTGTAATAAAAGATTTAAAAAATTTGGGGGTTAAGTATTAATAATAATCACTAAATTAGGAACAATACTAAAAAGATATACGATAAGACATAATAATATGGTTATTTTTTTAAAAAGGAAAAGATTTATATTTAATTTTTATTATAACATTCAAAAATTACCATATACATACATATTACTGTATGTTGATGAAATGATATTCGGTGTAAGTAATTGTCTATGAATTGAATGTACCCTTTTATTGGTTCTATAAATTTAAAAAGAAATGATTTGACAGCATATTATGCTGATTCCTTTCATAAATAGATCATCATGATTTCTTTAATGAACGCACTGTGAATTTTTTTTTTTAAAAAATGCCACTTTACTAAAAAAGAATCATTCAACTTTTTATAAATATTAATATGATGATGATGATTAGAAATTGAGATCGTCAATAATTTAAAGTCCCCAAGGTTTTATCTGTTATAGAATTTTTAATATTAACGTTAATTAAAAGAAAAAAAAAAACAAATTAGAAATTTTAAGTTTATATTTTATATTAGAATTGCAGAAAAAATACAGAAGAAATGTTTAATCATTTACTACATTTAAGGATTTAGTATTTTAATAATTTGAAAATAATTATAATTATCTTAAATTTTATTTCTCGATATAATATAATTGATACCTCGATAAATTTTTTTGAAACATCTAGGAAATAAAAATTTCACGTCATATTTGTCATATTCGTCATATTTGAACATCAAACATCAGACCGTTCAAAAAAAAAAAGAGTTGCAAATTACGTGATCGGTGGTGTTAGACAACCCTTTTCCACCATTGATCAATATTGATAAGCTCATTATGGTAGAGGTAAATCGCACATTGGTGGCACAGTTACAATTTTATTGATGTAACATTTCTGTTTTGCGCGCTTTTATCATGTTACAAAAAATTTTTTTTTTTAAAAAAAAGTATTTATTTTTTTTAATAATAATAATAATAATAAAATACATACATATTTATTTAAAAAATTGTAATGGTTTTTAATTTAACGCTACATTTTAATAAATTAAATCGCAATATGAGTATACTTGTGAATTGTAATTTATTAATCTCAAAGAATATTAAATAGATTGATATACAGGAAGTTTTGTGTTGAACACTAAATGTTTGGTTTATAAATTAAATATTGAATTTAAACTATGTATGTATTGTTTTGTTTATCTATTTATTGATACAGATATCAGGTGTACAATAAAAACAACACTACTAATTATTTAAGAATTATTATCATTGTGTTATCAGATTATAATAGTAGATCATGTGATTTTATAGTTAAGGNAAAAAAATTAATGAATTTATTTATGAAAAAAAAAAAAATCAAAAAAAAATATATTAAATTATTTTTTTTAGAATGAAAAAAAATAATTATGATTAATTATTAAATTCCTAAATTATTTTAAGTAAAAATATCTAACTAACATTTATTTTATTATTATTTTAAATTCAAATCATTTTTTATTAAATAAATCCGCGATCTTTTTGAATGAACAAATACGTCACACGAATTAAATCGTAATTCGTAACCTATTTCAACTTTAAAAATTACTAATATATCTATATCATTATTCATTAACAAACATTTTTAAAATTGCGGATGCAAATTATTTCACAAAATTAGCCATCCGAAAATTTTTTTCTTTCATGCTTGATATGAATAATTCAGTGATATAAATTGGGAAACGTAATAAGGCGAAAATCATTTTTAAGTTAGGCGCAGTACTTATTATTATTTTACCCCCCTAGAAAATCATTTGATCATTTTAACTTGGTTAATTTTAATTGGCCATTATATATATACAATTTATGCTAGGTCACGTCATATCGTCATATGACTAACTATGCTGTACATACTACATAACGATTATAACGTGTCTACATAAAATGTAAAGGACAAGGTCATATTGTCAACAACGTCAAATAGTGCGCATATGAATGTACAGTACGGTCTATATTTTATGCGTATAAAAATTTTTTTGAAGGTATTGCTGTTCAAGACATACTTTCTCTATCGTTAATTAAACTAATTTATTAGTAATCAAGATTTTTTTCAAAATTTAATAAGAATACTTATTATGTTAGGTTATATTGGGTTAAAAATATCAATAAATTAATAAAATGAGGCGAAATTAGTTTATGTTATCAATTAAACTAATTTAAGCATATACCTTATATACCATCTAATAATCAGCCAATACATTTTGAATATTACGATTAAATTTATATAATTCATATGTAAAAAAAAAAATTATATGTAAAAAAAATGGCGTTCAAATTCAAAAAATGCTTAAATTTTCTTCCTCTAGCCGGAATTACATAATGTCGGCTGTAATTATCAAAAAAGGAATGCACATTGTGACACAAAAGTACGATAGATGAACTTCTATTTACGTATTAGTATGATGAAACACGGATTAATAATGTAGTACGGATTCATGCAAAATATTGTAATATCTTAATAATAATCACGCCCGTATAATAAAAAAAATAATAATAATAAAATTAAAAGTAATATTTAAGTTTCTTAGCGCTCTCATTCAAGAAAAAATCAAATGTAACTAATACCAATACACGACACGACGTTCTAAAACTATATAACGGGGAGTTCAACGGTAATTATACCTAATTCTTAATTCAAAAAAAAATATAATACAAAAACGTTACATCTAATACTCAACGTGTTACCATAACGTAGATCTTATCTTTTATCTTATCGGACCGAATTTTATTATGGTTAAAAAACTTTAACATTAACTTAGTTAGAAAGAAAGACATAATAAAATTTAATCTTAATAAATTATAATATGATAATTTCTTTTTTATTAGAATTCATATGAACAATATTAAAATATTACATGCATTTAATTTTTTTTTTTTTTTTTATTAAATTTTTTAGCATAATATTAATTCCTGTCTCTTATACACATCTAGATGTGTATAAGAGACAGCAATATTAAAATATTACATGCATTTAATTTTTTTTTTTTTTTTTATTAAATTTTTTAGCATAATATTAATTCAGAATAAACGTTACCTTATTAATTGATAATCAAAATAAATATGCTTGAGGATCAAAACTTCTTGCGCCATTCCGCCTTTACCGTGAAAGTTAAAAATCTTTAATTTAGGTACAAAGTAAAGATTGCTATTTGATTTTCTTCGGGCAGCTGGAATCAAAAATGTGGCTAAAATTGTGGTTATTAGGAGATTTTCCATTTACGTACTAGTAAAATTAATTCGGTCAAATATAAATTCATTATATTTTTATAAGTTTTTGCTTGAAAGACATTATAAAAAACATATCGTGCATTGTAGGTTGTATAGTAATTATAATATAATAATAATCATATAGCGAAAAAATGGTAAATATATAGTTTACTGCACATTAAGGAAATTAAGTTTCTGTAAATCTACAAGAAATATAAAAGATGAGATTCTAAGAAACATATCGGAGAATATCCTCGTACCTAATTATCACTTCTTGAATGTTTCATCCGAAATTTAAAAAAAAAAATTACAATGTCATAAAAATAGCAACCAATTAGGTACTTTTATCTCATTCGAGTCGAATAAACCGATAATCGGCCTTGACTTTTTTAGAACGGGCTGTTAACACAATTAGAAAGTACAATTTTATATAGGAAAAAATAAACAACCCTAATCTAACTTTTTATGTATTAATATTTCTGCATCTAATATTTCTTATGTTATCATAATAATTTCCGGTTATTGTTAAAATTTTTTAATTCCAGAATTCACGGTCTGCAATGTAAAATCTCTTGTAACGATATTCTTAAACGATTTTAAATTGAAACGCTTCGAACCTCCTTGGTTACAACAAATTCCAAAATAGAAAAGTTCCAACAAAGAATACTTTCATGTTGGTTTCGCAATTTTATTCAAAGTAGATCGTAAATTTTACTAAAGCGGTTATGATATTACTGTAAGACGTTACATATACAGCTGTAATAAGATGATCAGTATTTCCCTCGTGACAAATTTTTTTATAAATTCGGATATACTCTAAGCCGATATATACCTAAGAAAAAATATAATTATAAGATTAAAGACGATACAAAATTTTAAATATTATAAATACATTTAATATACTGCATTGTTATAAATGGATAAATGGGCTTAATAATTTATTCATATATTATAAAGATAAAAAAAGTTAATATTTATAACGTAATTTTGCATATCTTAAAATGATTCTATAAAGAAAATAAAGACGTGTGATACAAAATACAAATTATCGTCACACCTAAAATGATAAACGTTCAACTTTATACTTAATAGAAGAATCTGACGGAAGATTTGAAAATCATAATTTTCGCGTGACACCGTAATTTTCGTGTGGCACCTGCGCACAGGAAAAAAAAAATAATTTTATAGTTAGTTGTTTTATTGTTTTTTTTACGTATAAATATTGCATCTAAAACCTCCTTCTTTCGAAAAAAATCTTTTGCAAAGAAATAACAAAAATCAACTTGATAATTTCCTAAGCAAAAGATAAAAAAAATTAAATTAAATTCTCATAATTTTCTCATATTAAATTAAAAATAAAATAATAAAATCCTCATATTTTAAATTTTTTTTATTCTTCACCAATTTATTAATTCATCATGAGCGTAGCACATTTAGAAATTCTTACTGATTCAAACAACTTTCAATCTTCTCATATTAATTCTGCATCGCAGAGTATTTTCCATGATAATATAAATTACGATTATTCTCAACAAACAGATTCTATTACCATCCCATCTCAATTATATTCTGAACAATCTTATTTTATGAATCAAAACGATTTATCAAATCAACAATATTCAATCAATCAACATTTACTTCAAAGTATACCGATTCATCCAACCAAATTTTTTTATCAGCCACCAAATGATCCTTTCAATTATCACATTAAATGTGAAAAAGTTTCTAACCAATCATTAAATAAGTCAATTAATAAACAATTAAAAGAAAATGAATATACGTTCTTTTATTTACAATTAAGTGACTATCAATCTTATCAGATAACATGCGAAATGTTTACTCCTTCTTCGATTAATAATTATTTGAATAAAAATATTTATGGTATCGAAGTTGAACAGATACAAGAAGAGCTTGCTATATTTACACCTTATCACAAAGAAAATCTTAAATCCTATTTAACACAATACCTAAGTTATTATATACTTAATTAATTAATTTTGAACATTATTATTAATTACACTATCTAATATAGAATTTTAATAGTTAATTTGTATAGTTATATAATTAGATATTTTAATTAATTTAATTTGAACAATAATTTTGTCATTAGATTTAATCTTGAAAACATGTTCCATATATAAAATTAATAATTTCATGTTATCAAGTTAATAAAACAATAAAACCTTTTGTTAATCTAGACTATTTTAATTAGATTTTATTTAGATTTTTTTATATCGATTTCAATATTATTACTAATACCTAATGATCGTCATCTTAATAAAAAGCTTCTCATATAAAGAAGATCCAAAAATGGAAACTTTAAAACTTTATTCGATTATCATAGCCAAATAAATCTTTGGATTTTCAAATTCTAATGTTGCACCACAATAATTAACCTCGTTTCAGATCATCAGATATACCGTACTAACATAACATGCACAACCTTATATACAGCACACCGTAACGCAAGTCATTTAAATAATTTACAATTTGTTTATTTACTAAGAACTGATCACCATGATAACATTCACATTTTCATGTCACGTTAAAAATATTAGATACTCGAAATACCACTTTGATGGTGCCGATACTTGCAAAGTATAGTACGATACAGTACTATCAAAAATAATAGCTTATTAGTTTGGTCCTTTTAATTCTCCGTATCCTATTTCTATTGAGCCTGGTTAATTTTACCGTTAATTACTTTACCAAAAATCACTTCAACGACAAACGTTTCACCGATAGGGTGGTCATTTCGCAATAAATGTTTCATCAACTATCATTTTATTGACAGTTCATTTCGCGATAAACATTTCATCGACTGTCTTTTTATTGACAGTTCATTTCGCGATAAACGTTTCATCGACTATCTTTTTATTGACAGTTCATTTTGCTCATTTTAAAGAAAATTAAATTACCTTTTTTTTTGTTTTTGCCAGTTAAAATTAATATAAATGATAAATAATAATAAAAATTTGAAACTATAATAATCACTAAATTAGAACCATGTTAAAAAATAAAGAACAATTTTTGTATTTTTATACGAAAGTCATATACTGTATATATATTTTAGTTTTTTACTTCAAGTCACCGGGGTGATCATCACCGTTGGCCAGAATTATCAATTTTTACCGGCACTATATTTTTTTAATGCTAGTCGATCGTCATAATTTCAGTTACCGGTGATCATCACCCCCGGTGATAGTTAGAAAAATTCTATATTTTAATTTATATTTAATTTCATAATATTTATAAATTATATGTCAATGAGATTTCCGTCGGCAAATGCTTATCGGTGAAACGGCTATCGATGATATGATTGTTGGTGAGTTAAATGCGTTCCTTTCTTGTAGCTGTTATTTTAAAATAATTTTTTTTTTATAAGATTAATATGTATTCGTACTCAAAAACTTTTGTTTTAATAGATTTTGAAGAAAATGTGTTTTGATCGTGTGTCTACCTTTATCTACTACATTTTCGAAGTTGGAACTTTTCAAAAAAATCTTAATCAGTTAATATTAAATTTTTTTTTTTTAGTTGCAACTTGCAAATAATATTATACTCACATATTAGTTGTATTTCATTCGTCTTGTTATTACAATTATACTGGTCACATCGAACTGGACATTTCCTGAAACATCCAATTTCTCGAATTCCAATATTTTGCATAAATTGCTGTTTTTTAAATTTTGTTAGACAATAATTAAAGTGAGACATTCTAGATTTCTAGTTGAATGATAACTGTTCATTCGCGTTTCTTTTGTGAATGCATTTTGTATAAACTTTAATAATAAAGTTAAAAAATTTGGTGAAATCAAATTTACGAGAAAAAAACACTTCTGTATGTCAAGAAAATTAATTCATAACTGAAATTAAAAATTATACTGAAAAATTATGCCAAGAAATTTTTCTCCCGAAGTACAAACATCAATTTAATTTTGATTTTTTTTTTCCTTTGATAATGAATAAAAATGCTTGCTGTATTGTTTAGAGACAAATTTTTTATATTTCACATGATGATATTCTTGGCTAAAAACGATTGAATCACGTGATATTAGTAAGATATTTCCCGATAATATCCCTCAATTTTATCACCTAATCATTAGAAAAAAATCTTTCCCCTTTTTTTATTTTTGTTAGTTTTCCGCAGTAATTAGTGTAGGTTTCGTTTTAAGTTTTATTTTATAAACACTTTTAAGGGGAAGAGGCCCGGAAGGGCGCCTCGGGCATAAGGCGAGGTTTCAGTATTCTTTTTATACCCAAACCCAAGGGAAAATGTCTTCTTTTATTCGCATAGACGATTATGAAAATTACGATATACCGAATAATGGTTTTACTGGTCTCAACCAACACTCTAATAAAAGAGTTTCCGACAAAGTTTCTACTTGGAAAGATATTACATCTAACGCTCCTTTAACTACTTTTCACACTTCTCCTAGTACAAAACCTTTCAATAAACCTTCTTCTTTTTCTTCGCCGGTGGGAAAATTTCCGTTGAAAGTTTCTTTTTCCAAATTTCACGTGACTCGTCCAAATCGGGCTGGATACAACAAGATTTATGAAATCAGACGATCAAGAAGTTACTTTTTTGAGTTAAATGATCTACCTGCAAACACCAATGATATTCATCTTAAAATTTACACAAATGATTATCATATGAAAAATACCCCTATCTCTTATCGCAACACGAGTTCTACGCCGAATGACAAATATAGAATTAGTTGTATGCTTACACACTTTTTTTCTTCACAAAGAGTTTTACCTCGCAAAATACAACAAAAATTTTTTTCTTTTATACGAGATAGATTATTGGCTCGAAAAAATATGATTTCATCACGTGCTAACAATTCACGTGAACGTAATACTACGACCAGGACCTTTTTTAATTTTACATATAAAAAATATCGTTTTCATTTTGGAATATATATCCCTTGTTCTCAACAACATCCACATTCAACCTTTTATGATTCCCGTGAACACTGTCAGGTTCCTAGTCCATTCGTCATGTCTCAATGTAGACGTGCATGTGTTATGCACCAATCAATTTTTTTTCATAACGAAAATTTAAACGGGTATATAGCAAACATGTATTGTATGGTTAGCTTTGTATGTATTGTATTATTAAAACTTTTTAATGTATGTAATGTATCAATTATGTATGTATTGTATGATAAATGTGGTAGTTTCATGTATTATTTGATTTAAGGATAACTTCTTGCCACACTTTTTATTACCAAATTTAATTATTTACACATTTTTCATGTACTGGCTAAAACAATTCAACGCGTATTATTATAATCTTTTCTTTTTATTTAAAAATAAATATTTTTACCCTGTTTATTACTACTTTTTCATTTAAAAAAAATATATAAATATTTTTACGCGTTTTTATTACTGCAATCTTCTCTTTCTTTTATTTAAAATATTTCTATTGTGTTTATTACTATGTCTAAAGTAAATCCTGTTATTCTTTACTATATCTGATGACGAAACTATATCTGAAAATGAAATTTAATTCCTTGAGTCATCTATGAATATAAGGAACATTTATTTTATTTATAATAAAAAATACTTAAATTTTTTTTTGTAAATTCTAATATTATGTATGGCGAAAATAAGTATGCCATACATCATTTTTAATATCCATACATGTATGGGCACAATCAAAGCATACATAAGCATACAATACATACAACGTTAAGCATACACTACATGTTTTATAATCACCTAA